GCCTTCATCAGGCCTGCAGTGGTCTTCTCGTTAATGATGTTAAACGCCACATTTCGTGTTAGCATCAAACGAATCACACCAAGAGCTTGGTGATCTAATAGATCCCAATCTGCTTTGACCATAGTCTCCGGTTTCACCTCGGTCAGTGGTAAGTGTAAATTTTTCTGGTACAAATAATCCTCTATTTGCATTTTCCAGAGTCCAAAATCTTTGCCATTGAACTTGTCAATCTTAACCTTCCCTTCTTCCGATGCCATTTTTCACAAAAACAATTTTGTGAATAGTAACGATGATCAATAATGTCGCACTATTCTTGTGAATAGTACCTGCACCAATACTGTACTTTTCTACCAGAATTACACTGTCTGTGCTCTGATACCAGTTGTTGAGGAAGCGTGTCAAGATAATAGAAGGAAAGGATATTTAGGAGAGAAACAATAAATTGCACAAAACAAGACAAGACAAGATTTACGTGGTTCGGCAATTTTTGCCTACTCCACGGCCACACAAAGAATTTATTAATTGAAGAGAGAAAGAAGAAGTTTTGGGATGTTCTACAAATGAAAATGTAGACCCCTATTTATAGGCATTTGAATGTCCTACCGAGGTGAGCGCTTACATCATAAGAATGCTGAGGTAAGCGCTTACATCATAAGAATGCTGAGGTAAGCGCTTACATCACAAGAATGTCGATGTAAGCGCTTACATCATATTTTCATCTCTTTTTGATTTTTCTTTCTTTTGTTTTGTCTACTTTCACATACAACAATAGGTTTGGTCTATCATATATATATATATATATATGTGTGTGAAGAGATGTCACGTGAAAGATTTATTTCATGACCAATTTCACATACTGGAAGTATTTCCATGGGCACGTATTTTGTCTTAATGCACGCTACTTCACCAGCGCTTTCACAAATTCCGACTCCACGAAAAGCAAAACCCCACTTCTGTTATTATTTTCATTTTTCTCATTCTTCATTTTACCCCCAAAAACACCTCCATGGCTTGACTTTGTTTTCCCCAACTATTTTCTACACCCAAAAAATCTTTGAAAATGATATTCTCAAAGTTGGGCTAGCCGTATAATGCAACAGATGCACGATTTAATTTCACTCATGGCTCTTAGTATTAAAGTATTTAATCTCCATGTCAAATTAAAATACCACTAGCAAGTGCTGCTTACTGTTATTTTTAAGGAAAGGTTACAACGATATAATACATTAGGAAGTAAAATAAAATCTTAATCTACTCCTTTAAATCACTATTTGGATAACCTTCCTCCATAATAATAATAGATTCTGCAATCTTGCTTCATAGAGAGCTTTAATTGACTATACAATTTGATCTTCATTGGCCTCGCTACATCTTCTCTGTAAATTTCTTACTGTAAAAAATTGACTGTTTTAGTTTTGAACAAAGGTCAAATGGTCTATTCAATATCAGTATTTACCTTTAAATTTTTCTTAGTTTTGGTTCGAAGAAAAAAAATAAAATTGCATGTCTTCGCCCTCTTTTTTACTTCACAGTTGAAAGTATACAAACTTTTTATTGTTCAAGAAAAAATTGTATTAGGCTGGAGATTCTTTTGACTCGATATGATTGTCATGTACTAAACTTTAGGTTAGTTTTACATGCTGAATGATGATTTATCTTCATTTTCTTGGAATGATTCCTCGCATATTGCTGCAAAGTATGGTCACCAGGGCGATAAAACTAGGATTTACAATATCACAAATTAATGAGTTGCTGGTGTTGTTACTACTCTGTGTTACTGGTTGTATTTATATCTGAGTGCTATTCTTTTTTCTTTTTTTAAGTGCTGTATTTATATCTGAGTGCTATCCTTTTTTCTAGTGCCATCTGCATACCGTTAATTGATGTTTTCGCATAAATTGTCCAAGCATATTTCCAGTTCAAAAAATTGTTCAAATATATGATCAGGCACTTAAGTGAGAAGAAATAGTTCAATGAAGACTAAGAAGAAACATTTTTCAACTACAGTTGCAAAAGTTAATTTTTAACCATATTAGATCTGTTTGCATTAAGGTCCTTGAAAATTGTTTGTTTGATAACTTGCTTACTAACCAACTGACTATCTGATAATTGAATGAGTGACTCCTCTGCAATTGTTTTTCCCTCATGGAATATCACCAATCTTATTTCTCAATTATACTGGAACCATTCCTATAACTACTGCTTTTGCGTTCTTTATTCATTCATCGGGTCGTGTAGGAAGAAGGGACACCACTACTTAACAAGTTGAACGGTTTGACAAAGCTAAATGATTGAATCTTAGTAAAATACCTGCAGCCCTTTTTTAAAGAGATATATGGTTTGCACCTATTATAACCATATATATTACCTCATGTACCTTATTTTGGTTTTACACTAGTGTGTGTATATATATGACAACACACAGCTAGTTTGGGATCATTTTTTCTATAAAAATAAGAGCATATGATGTTAATAATGTCAAGGAGATTTTTTTAACAAGTTTATTTGGAAGAAACCTTTCTTTATAGTATAGAATCTTATCCTAAAAGACTTAATCAAGAATAGATAGAATTTGAAGTTTCTCTATTGAAGTCTTTACTGCAAGCTAAAGCAAAGACTACTTAAATAGTAGATGAATGCTTATTTGCCACATTTCGAAGTTATCGCTGAAGCAAAAAGTATTTGAACTTATTAAATTCCGGCAATGGAACAGTAGCTTCTTCCTTAGTTGAGCTAAGAATGCAGCAGCAACGATGGTGGAAGCTCAATGCTGTGAACTTGAAGTCGTTCGATGAGAAGAGAAGAACATTAGGGAAGAGAGTTTTTGATATTATTCATTCAAAGACTATGTAAAACTAATGGTACTCCTCTCACTATATGCAAGTATGTAAAGAGAGAGAGCTAAGCTAACCAACTAACTGACAGCTAATTATGATGAATAGTATTTTATGGTAACTCAAGTAAAGGCATGAAAGGAATCTAAATAGCTAAAATTGGTCGATTACTACATTTAGCTCGTGTACACACTCGTCACCTTGCGTACACGGTTTCCACATAGTTATAGTTTTGTCTTGAACCTGGTACCTTGTTTACACCTGAGTTATTCTCATAGTTATAGCTTTGTCTTGGATTTTGATTGAAACTGGAAGCTTGATTGTGACTTAGATTTGGATTCTGATTTTGATTGGAGCCTTGAGGATAGCCATGAAGTTTATAACACTTCTCTCTCATGTGGCCTGGCTTCTTACAGTAATCACAGAAGGGTCTGTTTCTATAGCTCTGAGAGTTGTTAGGTGAATAATTTGTCTTGAATGATGTTGTCCTGTGTGTGTTGACATTTAGGGTTGATGACTCAAGAGCTAAGTGGTTATGAGGCTTAATTTCTCTTTGTGTTTCCTCTTGAATCAATAATGAGAAGGCCTGTGCAATTGTGGGAAGAGGATTCATCATGAGGATACTTCCTCGAACAACAGTGTAGGTCTCTTAGCCCCATAAGGAACCGTATTAATCTTCTATCCTGCTTTGCTTTGTGCATACTTTCCCTTGCTCCACATGTGCAATTGCAGGTGCAATGAGATTTAGTAATCAGAGTAGTAAGTTCCTCCCACAACTTCTTCATTTTTGTATAGTAGCCAGTAATGTCAAGCGCTCCTTGAGACAAGTTGTTAATCTCCTTTTGAATTTGGTAGAGATTTGTTCCATTTGTCTGATCATATCGATCTTCAAGATCTTTCCACAACTCGATTGCATCTGTCACATATTCAACACTGTCTGCAATCTCTTTTGCCAAGGAATTCAAAATCCATAAAGTCATCATATCATCACATCTCTCCCACAATCGATAGTTTGAGGAGTCTGGATCTGGCTTTTTGCAGTCATCATTGATGAAGCCTAGTTTACTTTTCATCAATAGGGCTCTCATTACATCTCTTCTCCATGAGCGATAACCAAATCCAACAAATGGAATAGGAACTAGGGCTATTCCCGGACTATCAGAGGGATGCATGTAAAAAGGACTACTAGTGTCAACAATTGGCTGATTAGGAGATTCAGCCACAGTTGGTGCAGGTTGTTCAACATCTCCATTAGTAGCCATCTCTTATGAGGCGTAAAGATCAACTAATCAACCAGGACAGGATTCTAACTACAAAACTAGTACTCTGATAAAGGATTTTAAGAGAAATGTGTTGAAACCGATGAGATCAAAGTCTGCATGCACATGATCAAACAAAATCGAGGATGATGAAATTAGATTCAACAGATCTGGAAAAGCGAATCGGAGCTTCTGACCTTGCTCTGATACCATATTAAATTCCGGCAATGGAACAGTAGCTTCTTCCTTAGCTGAGCTAAGAATGCAGTAGCAACAATGGCGGAAGCTCAGTGCTGTGAACACGAAGTCGTGCGATGAGAAGAGAAGAACATTCTGGAAGAGAGTTTTTGATATTATTCATTCAAAGACTATGTAAAACTAATGGGACTCCTTTTCCCACTATATACAAGTATGTAAAGAGAGAGAGATAAGCAAACCAACTAACTGACAGCTAATTGACAGCTGTCCAAACTCGACCACTAACTGACTCTCTAACCAAGCTAACACTGATGCACTAACTATATAAACAAGTGGAAGATATAATTAATCTTAACAGGGAAGCTGACTGAAGGTAAACCATATTTGACCTGCAATCAACCCGCGGTTTACCCAATTTTATATGGTTTAAAAATGGGTTGAACCTATATTTTACCCATTTTTAGTATCACTCAGCCAACCAGCTTAAATATGGGCGGGTTGGATAGATTATTAAAAAATGGATCAATTTTGCCATCACTATTCACACATAAAAATGAGATCAAAAACTTTAAACTAATCTGATCCGTATTCTTTTTTAGATGGAATATTGTTGGGTAGGAAAAGGGTGTTTGCTCGATGTTGTTAACCAAGGAACGTGTGGTAAGTTAGATTTTTTACTGTTATTATTATTGTTGTTGTTATTGATATTGTCATTATTGTTAGAGATTTTAATACTCTAGGGCAATTAGAAGTCCCATGACCAAAGTAAATTGTCTGTAATATTTAACTTCCACTGCTCCTTTTCTTTTAGGGTTTAGAGCAATAAAGGTTGAGTTCAATTAGAAACTGCTACTAATATAAAAGTGTCTCTCGTTGTTCTTGATGTTATTGCATTTAGTTTGTTGTTGGGCTTTTGCCGCAACGGAGGCCCTATCAGCATTAGATCAGATTAAGCGGAAGAAAACAGAGGTTACCCCCCATTCCAAACAGCAGCTCATTGACTGCTTCTTCAAAAAGTATTTCATGTCTGAATACTTCAAAGATTTGGGGGAAAATGAGTATGAGAAATAAAGTAAAGTTGATTTTTTGGAAAAACATAAATTTCTCTAGAATGTCCTAGTGTAGTATTCTTGATATTTATGTAGGAGACACATCTGGATGGTCTAGAATAGTGTGGGAAGATAAGTTATCTATTAGACACGTCTAGATATTCTAGAGTATTGCGGGAAGATAAGGTGAACTAGAACTTTCTTGTACATGTTCTAGAATATTATCTAGGACCATCCTTAGAGAAATATAAATAGGGGTGGCCTAGGCATTTTTGACTAAGCCAAAAAATCAAGAAAGTCTTTCTTTCCTAAACAAGTTCTTCTATCTAAAAACTCTATTCTCTCTTCTCTTTTCAAGCTTTCTCTTCTTTAGTTGAATCCTCCAATCTTAACTAACGATCTTGGGCTAGCACAAGGCCTCCAATAATACTTTTCTTCTGCTATTCTTTACAATGAGTGTTTTCCTGGCTCGTCTATAATGGCTTAAACTTATGCAAAGGATTTCGAAATTGTTGAAGAAAGGTCATATAAATACACAATGGAAAGGGGTCATTGTCAAGTGAATTTTGTAAGAATAATTGATTAATATCTGTTTTTTGTTCTTGTTGGTTTCTTGTTTTTTCTCTCTAACTTTTGTAGATTTTATGATGCAGAAGAAGGATAAATATGTCAAGATATCTGACTATATGGAGGTGTCAAATTGGATGAAAAGGCCATTGAAGAACTTATCAGGAAACAGTATATCACATGTGCTATAACTCATTATCCTAGCTTTCAAAGACACACAAGAGAGGTGAATAGTTACATTTTTATTTGTACATTTAGCCAATTACAGGTTCTGCTTTGTCTAATTGGCTTACTTAAAAATAAATTTCAGGAGGTCTATACGGGTGCCACTGAGTAAGAAATAGTGGAGAGGGAGGCTAGATCCGAACATGCCCTCCTGATTGTAGGATTTGGTACAGATGAAAAGGGAGAGAAGTTTTTCTCGGTGAAGAACTCCAACGGGAAGAGGCAGGAATTCCAAGGCTTCGGCAAAATCAAGTGTAGCATTGCAAGAAGGTTAGCATCTTATTGAGCGTCGTTGCAAGTAGTTTGGAAGAAGGTTGTTGTTTGTTTTTGTGAGGAGATGTTTTTGTGAGGTATACCAACTATTTTGAGAAGACAGGACAATAGATTTATGAGGAATTTTCAGAAACCATTATTGTTTAGTGGTTATTAACTTCCTATAACTACCATATACATAATTACTTCCTAAAACTATTATTTAGTTGTTATGCGACTGTTTTCGTTATATTCATGCTACTATATTCATGAATACAGTAGCGAAATTCGCCTAAAATAGGGGAATCCAGATGTGCGACTGTATTTGTTGTATTCGCGCTACTGTACTCATGAATACAGTAGCAAAATTCGCCCAAAAACAGGAGAATCCAGTTGTTTAATAACGAAAAGAGGATCAATTAGCGTGTATCACTCATAATTTAACTCAAAAAAATCAATTCTACATAATTTCGCTACTACTGTGTTGTATTTCATGTATTCTCGCAATTGTATTTATAAATACAATGAGGTAATCAAGAAATAGGGTGTATACCGTTCTATTCAATTCGATTGTATACATTGTATTCAATTCATGTATATTCATTATTCACTATTATACATTGTATTCAATTCAACTGTATTCAAACAACAAAAAATCACAAAATACAGTGATATTCGACTGTATTCAAAAAATACAGACCTTCAAAATATATAAATACAGGTGAAAAAATAATATATTTATACAAAAATACAATATATTTGAATGTATTTGTACAGAATACAATGTATTTGTATCATTGTATGTGACTAAATAGAAAAGAAGAGAAGAAAGTTTGTCGGAGATGGCTTTTTCCGGCCAAGCAAAATACTATATACATTGTATTAAAACTAAAAATCGAGACGAACAAAAACCCGACCCTCAAATCTTCTTCGGCGTAGCCATGTCCAGATTTGTTCGCCAGCAGTCAGCGAGCTGCCTGGATGCGAATTGATGGAGAATGTTGATCTGAGAACGTAGCACGAAGGTAGCAGCGCTAATATTACTTCTTCTTCTTCAAGTCTAGAAGTTGGGTAAGTTTAACAACATACCAAATCCGAGATGTCAAAAAGGTCGTGTTATGTTGAGGGAGAAGAGAGAAGATTCAGAATCTTGCTGATAGAGAGAGAGAATGAAGAGAAAGAGAGAAAGAACATAATTGTCGTATTTCATGCCTCAATGGTAGGGTATAAAATAAATACCTATTTTGCTATAAAATAAAAAAGGTAGTTATAAGTAGTAATAAAATTTCCTAGATTTATCTCTTGTTCACCATTGGGCTATTGCTTACATTTTCTGGGATCATTATAAGACCCTTATCTTTTAAGGTCCGGGTATATACTCTGTTTCAACACATATGTCCAGATTTATCTTTATTTTTCTCCAATCAAGTTTATGTTTTTTCACTTAGCAATTTCTTTTGTGATTTTTCTTCTCTTTTTTTTTGGTGCCAATGCTGCAAAATTGACCTAGCTAATTTTGAAATTTTTTTCTGAAGAGAGTTTATGTTATGATCATTTGAGGGAGCCCTTTTTCATTTCTATTCTCTCGAAATCTCAAACTTCGATTTTCCTTATCAAGTAGTGGTAAAATATCTGGATATTAGCAGAGCCTAGAATATTCGATTTTTATGCCAGTCATACCGATCTTCCATCAAAGTAAAGTGTATATAACTTCAAAAGAATATTTAAGAAGTATTTACAAATTTTAATCGGTGTTTGTTTTGTTCTGGTCTTTAAAGATTAACAATGTTAAACACAATTATCTACGAACTTTTTCTTCAAAAATATTATCTAAAAATTATTATTAGCTGTTCAAATTTGATAAATCTGCTGTCCTATCCTCTCAATACTATTTAATTACGTCGTCGGGTTACCAACTTTTTCATAATTCTTTTCTTTCTTTATTTATTTGATGAGTTTTCAATGTTTTTGCCTTATGTTTTGATGATCTAACAAACTTACTGTCAAGAACCAGATAGGGAACCTGACACACTTGGTACACATTACAGATGAACGGATTCCAGCCTGGACTCCAGCTAATGTGAACTGCTGCAAGTGTAGAAAAAGAAGAAACAAGTCAAGGACTTGATCTCTTGTGTTTCCCTTACAGCAGTACGAAAGTCAACTGTGCACAGCTGAAAAGTGACTGCCACAGAAATAGTGCACACAGAGTAGCAGCTTTGCAGTCACTTGCTTTTGACATATCGAATGCTTACATTCAAGTGATGTCATCAAGGGTGTATTAACAAGATCATATAACAAAACATCACTTAAACACTTGAGTTTTCACTTCAAGCATTCAAGCCTTTTAAAAACAGTGAACTCAATTCTCAAGAGCGTGAAGAACAAAGTTAAACGCTACTACAGACCAGTTCCTAAATCAAGTATTCTGTTGCCGTTAGTTGAGTTGTAACTCTGTGATTGTTCTTATTGTAATTTATAAATTGCTTAGCTAGAAGCATTGCTTAGGAACCTCCGTGTAAAACCATAAACTTTTTGAGTTTGTGTTGTGACTAGAGTTAGCCATAAGTTAAAGTCTTTGTAATTAGTGAGTGACAAAGTGGCTTGTGGTAAGAGTATCACAAGTTAGTTGAGTTGAAGTCTTTGTAATAGAGTCATGACAAAGTGGCTTATATATGGTGTTTATAAGTTAATGAAGTTAAAAGCCTACAAGTGTATGTCGTTATTTTTGTCCCCTTGTGTGGGATATTTCCACGTAAAAATCCCGTATCTCATTTACTTACTGTTTCATTAGTATTCTCAGTAAAAACTCATAGAGGACCATGTACTCTATAGTTTGGTTGACTCATATAAACTAACAATTAGTATCAGAGCAAGTTCCTCCTATCAGGCTAACACCTAGGAAGGATCATATGGCTGCTCCACCAAATTTTGAAGAAGGTCAATCTACATACAGACCACCCAGGTTCAATGGGTAATACTATGGGTGGTGGAAGACAAGAATGCATGATTTTATCATGGCTGAGGATTCTGAGTTATGGGATGTCATATGTGATGGTCCTTACATCCTAACAAAAGTACTTGAAGAACTTCCATTCTCAATGCCAAAAACCAGAAAAGAATACACTGACGCAAACAGGAAAGCTGTGGAGAAAAATTTGCGTGCCAAAAAGATTATGGTATATGGAATAGAACTTGATGAATACAATAGAATTCCTGCTTGTGAAACTGCAAAGGAGATATAGGAAGCTCTACAAACGGCACATGAGGGAACTACTCAAGTAAAGCAATATAAGATTGATATACTCACTACCGAGTATGAACTCTTTAGGATGAAGGACGATGTATCTATTCAAGATATGCATGCTAGATTCACCTCCATCATAAATGAGTTATACTTACTTGGTGAAACCATTCTTAGAAACAAGCTAGTGAGGAAAATTCTCAATATCCTGCCCACTTCTTGGGAAAGCAAGGTGAATGCCATTACTGAAGCAAAGAATCTGCAGGAGCTAACCATAGACGAGTTGGTTGGAAATCTGAAGACCTACGAAATGAAGAGGAAGATAGACAGTGAAAGAAGAGAACCAAAGAAAGAAAAGAACTTGGTACTCAAAGCTGATAGCAATTACTTAAGTGAGGAGGACAGTGACATGGTTTACTTAACCAAAAGATTTCATAAGATGGTCAGAAGAAATGGAGGAATGCTGAAAAGGGACAGTTTTAGCAAACCAAAGAACTATGATCTCTACCATAACTGTGGAAAGCCTGGGCACTTCATCAAAGACTTTCCTCTTCTGAAGCAAGATTTCTCCAAGTACAACCCTGAGAAAGCAACTAAGAGGAACCCGACTCCTGAAAAGGATTTCAAAAGGAAGAGATCTATTGACAATGTGGTGAAACAGGCTCTTGCAGCATAGGGAGACTCCTCTAGTGAGTTTGAAGATGAAACTAATGAAGGTGACAGCTCCATGATGGTAGTTGAAAGTGAGGAAAATGAATATGATTCAATTTTTGCTTTGATGGCCCAATTAGATGATGATGAAGAGAATGATAACATTGAGGAAAATTTCAGGGATGTTCAGAGAAATCTGAAATCTCACTCTTCTAAGAAACTCATGTCTTTAGCTAGTGTATTGATTAATGTCTATCATAGTCTTGTGGAGGATAAAGATGCCTTGACCTTAGAACTAGGAGAAGCTGAACAAACTAGAGATGATCTGGTAGTATGTGTTGTTGATCTTAAGGAAACTATTTGTGAGCTGGAGAAAGAAAACTCTGTTTTAATCAAAAAAAATTACAAACATAGAACATGAAAGAGATAATTTAGTGGTTGTAGTTGTTGACCATAAGGAAACTATTGAAAACTTCAGAAAAGAAAGAGAAGCTTTGATGAAAAGAGTGACTGAGATTGAGGAAGAAAGAGATGATCTCTTGGTAGTGATTGCAGACCTAAGGGAAACAATAGAGGGACTAGGGACTGAGTCAAAACCTGGAAATTCTAGAAAAGGAAAGGAGATAGCAAGTGAGAAACACATTAGGCTTGAAAACGAGTTGAAGGCTGTGAGAACTAGTATGTACGTTGAATCTGAGAAAAACAAGCATCTCCATACTGAACTGGAAAGAATAAAAAATGATCTTGAAAAGTCCCTAAAGTGGACCTGGTCCTCAGAAGCTATCATTGCCATGTACGCTAATAATGGTGGAAACAGGCAGGGAATAGGGTTCTAGAGGGAAAAGGGTCCCTACAAACCCCATAGCAAGTATGTTATTATACCAGATAACTGGTTGTGCACCTACTATGGGAGCAATGGGTTTCAAGGAAAATTACCAAGCCAAGGTCCAGTCCTTTCAAAAAAACAAAGTGTTTGCTGAAAATGTAACTACTAAAAAGGACTAGGTTCCACCCACAAAAAGCGTATATTACCTGCATGGACTAAGAGAGTTCTTATTCATCCTCTCGCCTACTACAAGGGACCCAAACTTGCTTGGGTTCCTAAAACTAACTCTTGATCTCCTTGTGCCGGGAATAGTGAAAGGAAGCAATCAACAATGGTTCATGGATAGTGGATGTTCAAAGTACATGACTGGGAAACCATGGACTTTATTTCACTAAAAGCCCCGCAAGGAGGGAGTGTATCCTTTGGCAATGGGAAAAAGGGATACATTCTTGGAGTTGAAAAAGTCAGGAAATCTCTTACTCACTCTATTGAGAATGTATACTATGTCAATGGTCTAAAGTACAGTCTCTTGAGTGTCTCTCAGATTTGTGATAAAGGAAACAAGGTGGAGTTCTTGTCCAAGATATGTACAGTTACTAATATGGTAACTGGTGAAGTGGTACTTGTGGCCAAAAGATACAAGAACA